GGGCAATGGAGAGTTTGGCAAGTTGGGCCACGGCGACGAGCAATACCAGCTGCTGCCAAGAAGATCGAGGCGTTGGCTGGCCAGTGCGTCGTCGCTGTGTCGGTGGGAGGCAGTCACAGCCTTGCCCTCACCGCCGACGGCGCCGTCTGGAGCTGGGGCTGGGGAGCTTGTGGCATGTTGGGCCACGGCGACCAGCAGCAGCAGCAGCTGCCGAAGAAGATCGAGGGCTTTGCTGGCCAGCGCGTCGTCGCTGTGTCGGCTGGAGCCGCGCACAGCCTCGCCCTCACCGCCGACGGCGCTGTCTGGAGCTGGGGCTATGGAGCCTATGGCCGGTTGGGCCACGGCGACGAGCAGAACCAGCCGCTGCCCAAGAAGGTCGAGGCCTTCGCTGGGCAGCGCATTGTTGCTGTCCCGGCTGAGGCCATGCACAGCCTCGCCGTCACCGCCGGCGCCGTGTTTACCTGGGGCAAGGGCGAGACCGGCTGCCTAGGCCACGGAGAGGACCTCGCAGCTGCCTCTGGAAGGCACCGAGATGTACCTTTTTCGCGCAATGGTCAAAATCAAGGTTTTGTAACGCGAGCTGTGCCACAGTGAAATGGAACTAGCCATGTGACTTGTGAGAGCGAGATGAGTAGTATGGCATGTGTAATAACAATACTGAGTTACGTCCACATGCACCATGGTTACTGTACGTCACCGAGACTCGTGTACACAAAAGAAATTTCCCGCCGGGTAACTCCAACATTTTTGTTCTCCTTCTCGCCTCTCGCAACTCTCGTGAACTCACGCCCGCTCCCGTTCGTGCACGCACGTGTGGTGGTGGTGCGCCGCGGAGTGGTGCACGGTCGCCTCGAGCGGCTCCTCCTCCTCCTCCGCCCCCTCCGGGTCGCGCCCCTCCCCGCGGAAAGCGCCAACGCCCTTGCGACCGCCGACCGCCTCCGGGTCCGCGGCAGGAGACAGGCCGGGGAAAGCCGCCTCGAGCGCCGCCGCCAGCTGGAGCCGCGACGCCGCGATCGCGTAGCCGCGCGCCACCAGCAGCTCGCGTAGCATCGCCTGCAGCTCGCCCAGCGCCGCCTCGTCCGCCGGGGCGAGGGCGGACCTGTTCACGCCGTCGAGGCGTGAAGAGGCGCTCTTCACAGCTCGTCGCCCGCCGGGGCGAAACCCCAACCGTGGCGGCGGTGCCGCGTGCAGGCGCCCGCCCTTGGCAATGCAGCGCGCGACCACGTACAGCCGCTGCGCGACCACGTAGCCCACCGCGGCGGCGGCGGCAAAGGCGGCGGCGACGCGGTAGGGCAGCGGCTGCTCGAGAACGTAGAGCCGGCCTGAGGGTAGGATAGCAGCGTCCGAGCGGCGCCCGGGTAGCGGCGACCACCAGCGCGCCCTTGCG